CATATATGTAGCATTGTCTATGTCATGTTTTACCCGTAATCTTGTTTTGTAAAATGACTGATTTAAAACATCATTAAAAAAAAGCATAATAAAAATATTTTCATATGTTAAAGATAATTATATTTAATAGTTTTTTATTTAGTTAATTATAATTTAATTAATCATAATTGTATGTTTTATATATATTATATACATTTTTATTTACTTTATACTGTACTGCTATTATGTGATTTAAATACTGTAATCTGTGTGATCTGGCAACATTGTTTTTTTTTAAATTAAAATTTAGTCTCGAGGTAGACTAAATTTTAATGACTGTAACTTTGTTTAGTACAAATCGTAAACGCGAGATATCACAAAAAATATTTGTAAAAATAAAATAAATCACTATTATAAATTACTATTACATTATTACTATTATTATAATAAATATAAATACTACTAATTAATAAAATATATATTTAATGAATAAACTAATAATATTTATAGCATTACTAGAAAAAACTAGAAAAAGATGGCTGCCTACCAAAACGCTGATAAGTTCCTAGATGAGTTTTGCGCAGCCAATGGACTCTCGCATCCCTTCTATCAAGTTGATTCAGTCCTCAATGGTGGTGAATATTTGTACATCTGTACCTGCAAAATAGGTGCTGCAAAATGTACTGCATCTTTTTGCGAAAGCGTGAATGAAGCAATTGACAAGGCTGCATTTTTTTTATTGGACTATTTGAAGACCGTAAATGTCTTATATTTTTTTGTATTTATAGAGCATTGTTTTAAGTTTACCATGCATTTCAGAGCCCAAGGGTGTTCAGTAGTGCTCAGATATGCTGCGATGAAATTGATTAAGTTACAAACTATGCAGGTTTAAATAAAAATGTTTTAACTAATAAAAAACAAACTTTCAAAACTAAAGACTTGGACTTTACTTATTATAATAATATAATAATATATTTTTCAACACGATTTGGTATAATTTTGTTTTTGATTTTTGATTTGTTACGTGGAAATTATTTTAATGGCGGTTTTCTTTTTCTAAGAATGTGCGTATTTCGGTAGATTCGATTTTTCCTTTATTAGTAGAATTCCTAATATAGCAATATTAGGATGTAGGAATGTTAGAGATGCTTCCTATGGAGGTAAAAGTGAATTTGCCGAAATACGTAGAGAAATATATAAAAAATCAACACTCGAAATAAAAGTTATAAAAAATTAGACCGACTTTACGATTTGGTACTTTGATTATATAAAAACTAAAACAAATCAATTGAAAGACAATGGAATGAAAAACATTCTGATTCAACTTGTGAGCCATTGATATTTGCTACTTGAAATCAACCAATGAAGACTGCTTAATATATATAAAATGAAGATTCATCATTTTATGAGTCGAACAAGCAATCTGAACTAAGTTAGCAAAATATGTCAAGACATTCTTTTCACGATTAGTGAAGCGAAGTGAGAGACTATAGTCGGAGTTAAAGTAAAATATTGAGCCAAAATTGAACTTCATTTCAATTATGGGTTAAAGGTTGAATTTATCAATAAAGCTAGTATTCAAGATCTAAGACTACAGAAATCAGAATTATTGAAATAGACTCTATGACTGGAGTCTCGAACCCCGCAATTGTAGAGCTGGGTGTAAAGAAATAAATAACTGTATGAAGGATATCAAATCGGAAAAAATCATACGAAATGAATTAAAATCAGAAGAATGGTTATTAGCTGGGGTGCTTGCAAAGCCAGTAATTTTCGCTAAGACGTAAACCAGGGAATAAGTGCTTGCACTTAAACTTGTTGTTGTATTTGGTGCAATCGGGGAGCTAGTACTATATATTATAAATGAGAGCATCATTTATCGGTGTTTAAGATATGAAAAAGAATTAATCAAAAGAAATGTGTTTCGTTATTTTTTCATCTCAATTCTTTGGCTTGTCCTCGTGATAGCAACGTTGTTACAATCATAGCAACGATGTTATGGTTAAAAACAATGTCGGTATATATGTATTATATATACACTCTACACCCAAAACACCCAAAAACTCGATCTACTTGCTGAAGTTCACAGCTAGTTCCGCTTGCCTTTACCGTTTGAAAACCACACTTAAGTGCTCTTCATGATCTGTGTTGCTCTTAAATGCAATGAAGATGTCATCGATATAAGCGAAGGTGAAATTCAAGTCACCTAACTCTTGGTTGATGAATCGCTGGAACGTTTGCGCGAACGTCCATTGGAATGCAATGGAGTTGCATTAGCTGTTTTTGGGATGTCGGTGAGCGCCACTGGGATCTCATAGTACGCTTTCTGTTTTTGCATGTTAAATAGACGTAACATCATGTATAAAAAGAATTGAATAAAGGTCGGGCTTCGTCTATGCTTTGAGCATACGATGATCCTCACAAGGTCGCCAACTTCCATAGCCTTAACACACCATATGGAGAGGACTAGCCCAGCAGTTTTTAAATTGCTGACAGATACCCGCTTGCACTAAAACTGGAACTCTTTCTTCGCTTCTTCAAGTTTGCTACCAGTATAAGCGTGTTATGTCATTGATAGGGCTTCGGAATCTAATTAATCCCCTACTTGTGCTGCCAGTATTTTTTCGAAAATTTTGAGAATAAAAGAAGTAAGACTTATAGGCCTATTATCTATGTAAGTATTATATATCGTTTTTACTAGAAACATTTGTAGAACTTCAATTGTAAGACGAAACCTGTTAGGTATAACAATTCACATAACCACAGTTATATGTTATTAGCAAATAGAAAAATTAATATTTATCAAACATAATTGAAATTTATGAAAGAATTGCTTTCTTTTTTTTTGTACGCCAAATTGCTACCATTGAATGTAAAAGTCAACGACGTTACTGAAAGTACTTCCTAAGGATTCGCTTCAATCAATTAAGCCTGTTTTTAGTTATTCCACTTAATGTCGTTTTACTGTTTCTAATTGCTTTTATTTGCATAGAAACCATTATTACAAAATACATATTTTATAGTAAACATACAAAAATATTGTACTTTTCAACGTATAAAATCCCACAGCATACTATATTTGCAAATAAAATGGCACATATTATTGAGCTGAATGCTGCAATTTGTATTATTAGTATAATTATTATTATTATATTTTATTAAAAACTTCTATTCAAGCTATTGAAAAAAAAATTATTTTTAAAAAAATTTCCAAAATTATTTTATGGTACATATATATAAAAAACTATTATTACATATTTTAAACCCTAAAGCGAATTAAATATAAATATCTAAAACCGACCTGATTTAACCCTGAAATTAGAACAGCAACAATTTTTGCAAATAGCTACTTTAATCTCCGTTAGCTGCAAGTGCAGCCTCACATAGGCGCTTTTTTCAATTGTGCACATTTTTTTTCATACATAATTCGCAAACACTATAGTCTGCAGCTCTTCGAACTACAAGCGCAAAGTTGATGGGAACCACTTCTTTAACCTCATCCAGCACAAGAAAGCTCAGATTACTCGCATCGACGAAAACCTCCTTACGCTCACTTGGCGCTACCTTAGCCGACCGCATAACTCTGCCCTAGACGTTTCAAACCCTACCACCATTTCCTCTGATTTTTTGCTAGCTATAACTACGACTTTCGTGGGCTTGATCATACAGTCTACAACTAATCTATCCCCCGCGCTTAAGCAATAACTTCACCTTCTCCACCTACCTTCCTTCTTCCTGTGCCACGCCAACGTACAGTTTTAGATAAACTTATACTTATATATACTAAACCTCTTTATCTCAGCTATTTTCTCTAATTATAGGCCCACACTGCCAGTTTCGGCACTGCACTGTGATTAAGTGCATTACGGTCTCATGCTCTCGATTCTTTCCATCTACATAAAATTAAGGTGATATTTTATATGCAACAATTAATCCCCTTGAAATTAATTATTTCACATATATATATATCGTAAAATATATATATATATATTGTTCAATAACATATATATTATACATAATTTATATATAATATATATTTATATACAAATGTAATGTATTTATATATTATAAAAGAACTTGATAATTATTTCTATAATTAAAATTATATAATGAATTATTATAATATTAATACTATATTCAGACACACCTTAATTTAGCAAAAATCTTAATTTCGTTTTCGTTTCAGCTAAATTAAGTTATTTTTCCCATACAAAATTAAGTTTTAAAGTTAAAACTAAACTAAAGAAAGAGACATTTCAGTGACAGTTGACTTTAATAAAACCGGGAAAATATTTTGAAAGTTTTGCAAATTTTTAAATTTGAATATAGAGAAAAAATTGTACCTGTTATTAATCTAAAATAGAATGAGAAACAATAATTCACATACCTAAAATCCACTAAAGCCAATAAACCTACTAAATCTCATCCTTTATAGGTATAATAATCAATTTTTAAAATTTCACAAATACAAGTAGTGTCTTGAACATGTAATTTTTAACTTTCGATTTGTAAACAAACAACGTATGGTTTCCTTAATTTGGGGCAGTGTGAACACCTTCGAAATTAATTTAATTTCATTTTTACGAAATTAAAGGAATTTGGCTGTATGAACATAGTATAAGTATACATACACAAATGTGTAAACATAACATATGCCATATGTATGTACGTGTAAACACGTATTTTCGAAATGTACAACCAAAAACCCCAACAATAAAGATGGATTGGCTTCTTTTGTATTATAGAAATAAAAAAATCCATGTTTAAGTGTACCACATATATAAAGCTATATGAAAATAATAAGTTATCAAAACATTTTTGTCTTTTAACGAAAATATATCATCGTAAGTGTACATACATAGACAATATATGCAGGACCGTGAAAAGGGCGTTTTATATTATCCATTGACTGTTTAATCAAGTAATCCTGGTATTCATCTGTCAAATAGTAGGTTAAGAATCTATTATATTAAACTAGTAGCTTCGTCGTAACCATTTCAATTTTCATTTCGTATTTGAAAAGCTAAGTAATAGTTGTAATTGCACAGAATGAATAATCACATACCAAGTTTTTATACTATGATGTCTTATCGGTCTTTTGGTTCAAAACAAGCGTTAAAACGTCGGTCACGTCGTATTCGTGGTTTGCCACCAAATGCAGAAATTCCAGACTGCCATTCAGGTACTTCATATTCCATATGCCACTTTTTGGAAACGAGGGAAAATGGCTTACCTGAGGTAATTGACAGTCAAAATATATATGTATATATATTACATATTTAATGTTTTTATTCTATATTTTATATTTTTTTATTATATATTTGTGCGCATACAATTTTTTTAAATTTTATTGACAAATCTTTATTGTTTTGAAGAAGTGCCAGGTAAATAGTGATGGAATAATGCATACTCTCTTGCAACGGAAATTATTAAAAGAATATCGCATTAGTCTTCCGATTGGAGTCAATGGCATAGTGTCTTCCAACTGGCTTAGTCGTCATAAAGTTATATTTAGTACCAGTGACAATAAGGTAAGTTTAATATTTTAATACTTGTTTGATGTAATCCATTATCTTTAATATGTTATTATAATAAATCCCTAAATGACTGCAGCTGTTCACGTACGATGTGAACAAAAAATATGCTCAAGAGATAGAAAACTTTTGTTGTTGGAATACACATTATAATCGAATGGAGATAATGGAGTTAAATCCAAGTAAAACTTTGATTGCTGTATCAGCAAAATGTGATTACGAACTAATGATCTACCAAGTACCTGGGCTAAATCCAATGGTATTATGCATCCCTCCGGCTTATTTAATGAGCATTTTCTATGTGTCATGGATAAATGACACAACTCTGCTGGCAAGCTGTGGTGCTACTGTATATATATGGGATATCTCTGAAGAAAATTTTGAATATGTAAGCAATAGATATATTCCCGTAACGCGTATTAAATCTAAATCCGAAGATTTTTTGTTGGTAAATAAAAATATTTATACATATGCTATTTGTATTGTATTGTATTTTCATAATTCATTTAATTGCAGAATGGTGGTATATGCTACAATGCGAAACATGGACAATATATCACAATGGGTGCATTAGGTAAAGTGTATTTGTTTTGTGTTGAAACTTTGAAGAAAAAACTCTTATTCCAACTCGAGAATAGTGCAGTGGTTCGCGAGTTAAGATACCAAATTTATGTTGCAACTCAAGGGGACATTTTAGTCAGTTACGGAAGTTATTCTTTCACCTTATATGATATACGTGCCCCACTAGTAAGTTCTCTGAATTATAGATATACTTGTATTACAAATTGTTTATAAGGCATTTGTAGATACACAAATTTTTATAATTATATAAATATTATATTTTTATGATATATATTAACTGAAGTTATTACCAAATTCTCGCTGATTGTGTTAAATTGATTGCCAGGCTTCGTATTATTGATAGATGGAATCATAATTATATTATTCTGTAGTTAAATCGAAATTTATTATTTTTATTACATATATTTTCATTGTGCTTTCTTACCAATAGTGCTGCCAAACTGTTTACCACTTTCCCAATGATTCGTACATTAGGAAGTGCGGCTTTCTCAACGATTACAGCATTATAACTTGTGGAGAACAGCCGTTAACGTTGTATGATATACGTCACGACATGACTCGATTTAATATTAGTGCTGTCGGCTCAGTTACGGTAAGAAATTTTCATTATTTTCATTTTAATTATATTAATAATATATCATATTTTTATTTGATGCAGACGAATTCTCACGGAGCCCCAACTGTATATACTTACTCCTACGACTCTGTTGGTTGTAGAATATTCACTGGTGGCGAACATGGTTATGGAGCATTGTGGACATAATAATATTGTTATGTGGCTTTGCTTTTGATTATAATTATAATAAGCATAATAATTAATTAGTACTCGTATATGGAAATACACCAAACAAAGAAAAAAATAAAAACTACAAATTTTAATATTCACTTAAATTCATTTATTTTTATTAATTAGTCACAATTTACAGATATAAAAATTTTTTGTTTTTTTTTATTTTTTTTTAAAAATTGCGAAAAAACGACTTATATTTCATTAATTGTTTCTTTATGCATTTATATTTAATTTTTGTTTTTGTTCACTGTACGTTTACACAATTGAACATATGAAATGACACTCTTATTTTTAAGTTCACATTATGACTGACTTTATTAGTGATTAAAACCAGTGTAGAACCATAAGAAGCCTAAAAGCTTATGTACTAAAATAACTTATTGTATAACAGTTGTAATGTCATTTATAGCTCGGATATACTCAGCCGTCGCCAAGGTTCTCAAAAGAAAATTTATTTAAAGAGAACCTATCACTTCTGATACCTGAACTGATCCGACGATATAACACAAATACATGTGACTATTAAAGTTATGCGTGTTGTATTATAGATCGAAGACAACACGCCCTTCGCTATTCACTGTAAAAGCGTCCAGAGCTCGGAGAAGTTAGGTTAATACAGTTCGCGACACTATAGTATAGACACACGTTACTATTGAGCAACCTAGATTCAGTCACGGTTCAAGCCCTGAATCTTTCTTACCAAAATTACGCAACCTTCAGTTGTCTACCTCGCCTTCAGTTGTCTACCTTAACAACGTTTTTACAGGTGGTTGTATACTCTTTGTGAAATGTGATCCTTGTGATCCTTGTTGATTTCTGTACTCAGCCGTGTTCGTGGACTTGGAACGTTAAATTTTTAATTAATAAACTTTTAGTTGTTACACAGCTGAAAGCTAGTAATTAAAGGCTTAATTATAACAAAGTATAACCAGTATGAATACTATTATTTTTTTTTAATTTCAAAACTTCAGTATCTCAATATTTAAAAATGTATAAAAAAGATTTTGGTTGCATATGGAATCATTAATAGGTAATTGTTGAATGAGTATTATGTATAGTTCGAACTGTTTGATAAGATTATGCCTTTGAGTGGTTTAGTTTTCTACTACAGTCATATAGTCATAGTGATATTTCGCTGTTATTTTGATGTTCTCTATCGAATTGTCACTTGAATTTATAGTTGTTATGTCTACGAATACCGGACAGACCCGACAGAAATGCGCAACAAAACTTGCGATATTGAATCTAGCATAACGCATTATTCATTATTGGGTAACGAATATATTAATTTATTAAAATCACTTCAATTTCAAGCATAGATTTCCGCATGATAATATGTTATTTAAACAACAAGTCTCTGTTAATTAATGTATCTATAACAGTACACAACCATGCCTTAATATTCGTTTTGTGAAAATATTGCAGGCGTGCCTGTAATTGAAGTTTGGTGATTGGTAATTGAAGATTCGTAATCTCCATCCTTTTACAATTATTTTTTATGAAATTTACATCATCGGTAATTAAATGATCAAAAAAAAAACGCTCCTGTGCTTCTGTAGGCATGACTAATATAAACTCTGGTCCCAATTTTATAAAAAAGTCTGTGCCAGTCTATGATAATATATTTCATTAACTTCCACTTTCAGTTATTTCAATAGGAATACTACACTATATTGCATGTCAATAAAGTGAAGTACTGTAGCACATAACCTCGGTGCTGTCTGCCAGCACCCAGCACTTTCCTCTACTAATGCGTTGTTGTTTTTTTATGGGATCCTATCGACTTTATTATGTTTTAAATGTTTCCAAGTGTTCCGTTCCTGGAGTTGTTGCTTTGTATTAAATACAATCCAATAAATTATTAATAAATAAAATTTATGTTTTGTAATGCAAACTTGCGAAAGAAAAGAAAACTTTTATGAAAATAGTCACAAAATTACCTTCGAAAAGTGGGAAATCTGCGATACCTAAAGGACTTTCGCACAAGGCAAAAGAAAGAGTAAATTACTAAGAAGCTTTACTGTGGGTTTCATACTATACAAAGCAAATTAGAATGTTTGGTAGTTGGGAGGTAAAAGGGGGTTAGGTTAAGCTTTTTTGGAAAACGGTTTTAGTAGCAGGTTCTCCATTTTTGTGTGTTTTGTAAACAAATGGCTTGGAAAGCGCTTTATCGATACACGTCATTAATTATATATAATTGTTTTATTTATAATTTTGAAAATTCTTACTGAAGTCAAAAAGTGAAAGCTATTAAGAAATGTGCAATAATTAAAAAACAAAATAATGTACATAAAAAATAAATTTATTAACCTTTAACTTTCTATGAATATGAAATGTTTATAAAATTATAAACTATATTTTTGTAACAAAATGTGATAAAATACGATAAGATAAGCTTAATTATATAAAATTTTTGCCTGTTTATGATTTAGTCATCTAGTCATTCTCTATTCTCTCTAAATTCACTTTTCTATTTTGATCAATGGAGTTTCCATATTTAGAAACATTCTTCGTAAATTATTTTGAAATTGATTACCTGTCTCTGCTTCATCCTTTAAAAGGTTTGATAGGTAATGCACACTCCTACTAAATACAATAGACAAATGGGAATAGTATGAGCATATTCAACTGCAGTCTTGTGTAGCAAAAACAGATAATTAATCCTCAATTTTAAAATGAATTAAAGAGTCTACTGGCCCTCACGAGTAATACAGATCTGTTGTGCTGATTTTATCATTTAAATTTATAAACGATGGTCTCTTAAAACTCCGCTCAAAGTAATATTTCAAAATGAAAAGAGGAACCATGCCATAATGATCCTTCTGAAATGTGATAGATCAACGATAAATGTGTGAGCATTAACAGGAAATTGAAACCAGATTCTAGATATTATAACATTTATTTTTGTCCGTTAGTTTTTAGAATTGGAAATGTAATTTCCTAAAGAAATATTTCGAAAAATTATTAAATTAATCTACAAATAAAATTTACAAAAATTACTTACAATAATTTGTAATTATAAAAAGTGTTCCTTAATGCCCGCCATATTACGGTTCTTAATTACGGACATGAAAGCACGTCTTATTTTTAGTCGTAAAGTAGACTTCACGTGTTTATACCAACACATCACATCTCTAATATTTCAATGCCTTGTTCCTGAAAGGTTTCTCATTTTGCTTTAAAATAGGTCTGAGTTGCAGCAATAATTTCTTAAGTAGAACGAAATTTCATTTCGTAAAGCATTCTTCTCTAAAAGACGTCAATTGCTAACAATCATATCCGGAAAATATAATGGATAGAAAAGTAATTCACAGTACAATTTAGACTTAATGAAAGAGTTTCTTTTTTTTTATTGGCATTAGTTTCTTTATAATGTCTTTTTTCAAACACATAAACAATGCCATATAATAACAGATATTTGCTATTGATTGTACTTTCTTCTTTGAAGTAAGCGATAAATAAAATACGGAGATCGAAATCTCATCAGCTTATATTTACATTTTGAACCATTTCGATTACCTTTCATCGATTGCTTCTCATTCAAATAACTGTCGATTTGGTTCTGGAGTGCAGTGATGTAATTTTGTGGTGTATATTGTCCAATACTGTATGCATCAACACGTTCTTGTTAGTAAACTCCTGTAAGCAGAAATGGCATCCATTTCCAACATACCTTTAGTGTCCTCAAATGTTCGTAAATGTTGGAGGGTGATGTTGGTAAGTATGAATGTTATCATAAATTATAATATATAAAGACATAGTTTGTATAAAACTGCAAAGAAAACTTCAAGTCGTAAGCTTAGTTTCCAAATCAATAAAAGTTAAGATTTCGTCTAAACAGGATAAACAGGATATATAAGAATTATCAAAACAGAGTGATCATTATTGCTATATACAATGTTTTAGAGGATTTATGTTGTCCACTTAATAGTTGATTTCGAAGGAGTAATATCACGTACACGTAAACTTTTGATGTCTTCACAATTCACATTCCTTTGAATTGGTGTAACGAAATCTTTTTTCGGCAATAGCTTTTTCTTCTAAAAAAATGACAAAATATGTTTATTGTTTTCTTCAAATCTTCACTGAAAGAGAATAATCAATTTTAATATTAAGCACCTTTGCTTTTAAAGGTAATCGTCGTGAATTATGTCATGAGCATTATAAATAAATGCCTACATTACCTTATGGCTGGCCGATATATATATTTTTGGTTCATATCATCAATCCAATCGGATGTATTACCATTGTAATACATTAATGTTTCATCTATGATAGTAGTTGATCAATGTTGTATAATACTTCTAAGTTATCAGGCGATAGTATTTGATGTTATTTGATATTTGATGCAAATGAAAATTCTCTATCCAAATTCACTTTTTTTTAAGATACTTTACAGTTGCTATTTGTTGCTCTTCAGTACAGTATAGCCGTTAATATATTAAAAATTAAATAAATAAAATTTTATTATTAAAAAAATTCAAAACATTGTGATTAAAAATAATTATACAATTGTATGTACATTTATTTATAGTTTCATAATTGTAGTGAAATTAAAATCAAATATAAATAAATATAAATATATGTAATATAAATATATTATTAATTAATTATATGAATTGTTTATAGCACGAAACAAAGGCTTTTATTCATCATTCTGAATATTTATATACTTACAAAGAGTTTTTTACTATTTACAGAAGTTAAATTGCAATATATATAATTTTTAATTAATAATAAATTAATTAATGAAATTTTCTTTTATTTTTTATTTACGTTTATGAATAAAATAAATAAAAATTTTATTTACTTTTTTCACTGAACTTCATTCAGTTTGTAAAATTTTTCATTAGTAACCGTCAAGAACAAATGTGGCTACTAACTTGTCTCCAACAACGCAACCAATTAAACGCTAAGTCCACAGTTAAGTACCTAAAGTACCCAAAAATTGATTTTATTTCATTTTAACCACTATTAGATATTGGAAATTTATGATATTAGTTAAACTTTACAACATATTGTTTTTATTTTACAAAACAGACGTTCTAAAATGATAGTAGCATTTGCACAGATAACACGCTCCTCTCGTGTTCTAGTTAAACCTTAATCCACATACGGAATATAAAAATAAATGCTGAAAAGATAGTTCCAGTATTATAGGCATATAGGTAGTTTAAAATATAATCAGAGGCCCGCCGCTGGATATTAACATAGTGAATGGTTCCCAACCAACTAATACACATACAACAGCTGTGGGAAAGAGACAGCCAAATCAACCCACTATTGAGAAAGAGGCATAATATTAAGAACAAGAGAACGGTGCATTTGCTCTCAATTTTTTTATATTCAACAATCATAAGCAGTGGATTTTTGTTTCAATTGGTGAATCATTCCATTACCAGAGATCTCAGAATATGCTCTAGCTCCAAAATAAATTACTCTAATATGTGGTTGAATTTTTTTGTTTCTTATTTGTTTTGGTTTTCTCTTGTCCAAAAATAATAGAATGCGCTATTAAATTTTTTACAGAAAAAGCATTAAGAAATTTATATATTCCAAGTGGTGATAACTCATTCTTCTAGTTCCATTGGACTAGTTCGTGTACTAGTGCCTGGCGACAATTGTTTCCTAAAGAACAACTGGGGAGTTACAATGCAATTCGGAATTTTGTTAATGTTAGAAAGTTAATCAAACAGTCAGATTTGTGATATCTTTAAGTAAACAAGTAGGTAAGCAATATATCATCACTTCGCCTCGCACAAACAATCAACAATTCTAAGAAAAACTGAGTACTAATAAACCAACCTAAAATTTTTCACACCTCTTGCTTCACACCCTGTATCCTATAAAAGACAGTGGTATTACTATTACTATAAACAGAATATCACAGATGCGGTCCCAATAAATCTACCACTAGACCATCAAAAATTAACTAATTATAACATCTTCCTCAAATTGTTTGCGAATCACGTCAGACAGTTAAGTAATGGCAGAAAATCACTGTAAATTTCTAAAATTTACATTCGTTGTTAAATAATTAAACGATATGGAAGTCTGAAGTGTGATATTATTCGTAAGTAAAATATCACACCTTCGCACTTCCTAATGGTTCAACCATAACACAATAAATATCGAACGATTAAGCCAATAAGTATTTATCACACTTGATGATACTAACATTAGTAAATCATGTTCTACGGAACTAATGTTTTTCATTACCAGAGTACACGCACTTGTTGATTAGTAACTAAACCTATGAAAGCCGAAAGGATAATATTATTTATGAACAAAATATCACCGATTCGCCTTTCATCAAGGTTTAGCTAAAACACTGTTAAATCACAATTATTAAACCAATTAGATCTTTTCGAATTGTTTATCACAAAACTACTTAACTTATTTTTTATGATAATGGTAATAATACGATAAATTGAGAAACAAAATGTAAAATCGTTCTTTATCACACTTTTTGATTAATTGAACGCTGTAAAAGAAGGAACTGTGATATTATCTATAATTAAAATATCACAGATTCTGTTTTTACAAACGTCCAGCTATAACACAATAAACAACCTTGCAATCTTATCGTTTAGTAATCACATGAAATGCAAATTTGGGTGATAATATTATCTATAAGTAATATGTCATAGACTCGACACAATAAATTAAGAAAAACTACATTAATTAGTTCTTTTCTACACTTGTTGATTAATTGAACGCTGTAAAAGACGAATCTGTGATATTATCTGTAATTAATATATCACTGAAACGTATTTTACATGCGTCCAGCCATGCCACAAAAACTACGAACTAATAAACCCATCAGATCTTTGTAATTAACATTTAAATATATTCTCGATATATTTATAAATTCTCATTTTATACTAAGAACATAATAAAAATCATTATTAATTGAACAAATTCATACTATTTACATATGTTATAAGATATCACAACAATGTTCAACCGCAAAATAAAAAAGGAGAACTCATAAATTAATTAAATATTTTATTCTGTCGAAGATTTTAACAACTATCTTCTTTCCTCAAAATATTTAATAATATCATTTCACCTTATATATTATAGGCGTAACACACTTTAACATAGTGTACATTTGTAGTAATTAAACGCAGTGAAAGCCAAAATTATAAGATTATCCATAACTAAAATATTATAACTTTGATCTTCATAATCGTTCAACCAAGACACACACTATAAGCCGAGAATCTATAAGATTTTCATTACATTGATTGTAATGAAAACTGATGGACCATTACACTAGTAGCACCCATCTTTTAGTAGTTGAAGGAAATGGAAAGTCAGAACTGTGATATTATTCGTAAGTAAAATATCACAATTTCCGTCTTACTGAAGATTTTACCATAACAAAATATAAAAGCACGAAGCCATTTAGTAGTTATCACACTTGATGATATGAATGATAGTAAATCTTACTCCACGGAACTAAGGCTTTTCATTACTAGAGTACACGCACTAGTTGATTAGTAACTAAACCTCTGAAAGCCGAAAGGATAATATTTTCTATAAATAAAATATTACCGGTTCGCCTTCCATCAGCGTTTAGCCACAGCACTGTAAGTTGACAACTAATAATTCAATTAAATCACTTGGCATTGTTAATCACGAATCTTTTCAATCCAATTATTAATGATTACAGTGTACTAGCCATATCACGACCAACATTTTTACAGCGTTGATTATTACTTGAACAGTTTAAAAGGCGGGATTTTGATATTATTTATATAAACAATATCACAACATTTTTGCATTTTGAGTAAGTGTTCAACCACTCCATGACAACAAGAACTCATAGGTGAATCAGAATTTTTACACTTAAAAACATATAATAAATTTTTTTTCCTGACTTATTTAATGATTATACTTAATCGATGAAGCACTAGAAGTTGTATGTTGTAGTATACAACTTTGGCAGCTGATATACTTAAAGAAATGCAATTAATTATTAAAATGTTTCATTTGTTGTATAATAATCGAAGGAAGGCATTCAGCTAAGGCCGCTGAATAGGTGCACTACTTCAGCCCAAAGCTAGGAAGTAGATTGTTATGGCCAATTCAAGAACTAAAATATTATGGTTAAGTTTTCATACTATTAACCACAGCATATCATAGACTACCAACTAATAAACGATAATATTCTTTTACAATTTTTAATTAATCAAGCGGTTTCTTAAAGCAAAAGTGTGATCTTTTTTGTAAATAAAACACCACAGCTTTAGCTTTTAGAAGCCAACAAACAAAAGTGAAGTCTTTAAGTCACAACATTTTATAAATAGAATAGTTGTATTTGCATTTGTTGTTTAGTAATTGAGCGATCAGAAAATCGTGACTATGATATTATCTATATGTAAAATATCACAGCTTCGACTTCCAGAATCGTTCAACCGTTCACAATTAGCTGAGAAGTAATGAGTTAAACAGACCTGTGTTACAAATAATGACACTTCTCCCTAATGTATTATTGCATTTCATAATCATAGCACTATACCCCTGACACTACCGTTCATGGATTGATCACCTCACTAAGCAGTTTATATATGACAAGTAATAATTGAACGTTTCAGATATTACTTATAAATAAAATACCACAGCTCCGACTAGCATAAACGTTCAGCCACATCACAATAAATTGACAACTAATAGATCAACAAGATCAAGTAAATAAATAGTTATATTTATTAAGAATTTATTTTCCATTAAATAAATAAATTTGATCATTATAAGGTGATGAAAACAAAAAATAAATTATTTAACGCGGCGAAAAAAAATCTAATATAAATATAAACTTAAAAATGCAGAATAAAAAGCAAATCCACGTGTTGATGATTTTAGTTAAGGGGTTCTGAGTTTTGAAGGGTTCTGGTTCTTTACACCGACATTCAAAATTAATCAAAAGGCACCAACTCACTAAAAATATCAAGATGTTAAAGCTTACAAATAATTAGAATAAATTTCATTTATATCATACGGCATTATCGGAAAAAGAGAGCGGTGTATAGTCCAATTCGATAATTTGATATATTCTTCGCATTCAGTATTGTGACATCGCTTGCAGAAAAAGCAAATTTCGTAACCACACGCATTGCAGCGGGCATTATCATCACTGATTGGATATAAATTGCAATTAAAAACTTTATTTATGTAGAGATCTCTCATATAACATATAGAATAAATAATTATTTTATTTATAACATATAAAAATATCCATTCTATAACGTATTTGTTATATATAAAGTAAGCAGTGCCATAATTCATTAATAGCAGATAAAAATATTTTGAATTTTAAACGTAAACTATCAAATATATATATATATACCTATGTAAAAAGGAACATCTAATGTTAACGATAAAACTAACCAAGCATTTCATAATCAAAATACTGACTACACAATATGGCAAGATTGAGATATTCCCCTATAGGAGTAAATAATGAGATCTATGAAGTAATGAACCCAGCGGAGATCCCAAATGTAGCTATTCAAAAAATAATTGCCTTTATTAACCGTGCAAATTAGTTTTAATACTACAAATTTTTTATGATCGGATTTATGGTCTGCCGCGTTTAAGATCAATCAATCATATACGCAGACTAATATAATGATAAAAGTTGTCATTATCGCAACAAAAACATTTTGCTATGAACTCTACATAAATAAATTTGAGTAAACTTAGATGATATTAAAATCAACTAACAAAATAATAGCCTTAGTACAAATTGGCAAGGAAGTCATACACAAATTCAGTTTACCACAATAAGCAACTGTCTTAATAGCACAATGCGTGCAAATCTCACTGAAACCTTGTCTAATAAAAAGGCGTCAAAAACGTTAGGTAGCGAACTCTGTAGCAAGAACAGAACATCAAGCAGACCTGAAATTTCAAAATCCTTAAATCCTACATAGATGTTTGACTTTATCTGCTATCGCTTAGGAGTAACTTATTGTCAGGTCAAACAGATGAATCTAACCAAACAAGCCGTTAAAAACATTTGACACTGCATTCTAAGAAAAATTAAGTGGGAGAGAACAACCTAGGATCATTGATGAAATATTTTTGGCAAACTACTTATTTACTTAGTTCTTAGTGTAGTGTACAGTACAATACAATAATCCAATACAATAAAATAGAAGTCGATTTATATATTCGTATATGTATAAATTCTTGTAATATCTAAGATTTTACTCACTGGTATGATGCAAGACATATTAGCTTATGATTCAACCAATCAGATTTTTGACAACGTGAACTGCAATACGAGGTTTCGCATTTTTCGCAATAGAAGTCAGCCTGCTCCATACAGTACACACACATAATTGTAGCCATTTTACTTAATTAGTCACAAAAAAAATTAAAAAAAAAAATTATTAATTAAAAACCAAAGAAACATAAATAACTTTTATATCATGGTATAAACATCAAATAATAATTATTTTTATTCGTTATTTTTGTCTACTTTGTATTCTAGAAAAACCAAACGGTTAGGGGAAGGGTTATATTTATATTGAATACTAAGAATCGAATATTAAAAAAACTGAAGTGTATCAAAAAATGTTTATGAGAAACAAACTGATCCGATCAGATGTTTTTGAGGCCATATAGGTTTTATGAATTGATCTTTTTTAATTGAACATTTCTTTGGCATCTTTCATTTGGACAACATGAAACACAGCTGAGAAAGGATATAGATAATAAAATGATCAGTGAAAGCATTTTATCTTAAGTCTGCCTATTTTTATTGGTGAAATCGTAGCCTTCCTAAACACAAAAGGCTCGATGTTATTTCGTAAGTGTATCTATATTCTCCACTTATGCTAAAGCATTATTTAATCACTTGAAAAGCGGAATGTTCTGAAAACGCTTATAGGCTGCTTTGCAGCGGAAATAAACAAATAAACAGTAGACTAGTTAATATTCTGTTAGCAATCTTACTGTACTTACACTCATTCTCGTCAAAATTAGATACAACGGAAATATCCTGTCATAAGGAACCTAATAGAGTACTATCAAAAAGCATAATGAAATTCAGTTAAATCTATTAAAAGCTAAATCGCCCAAACCTGTTGCTATATTCTTCTCATTGGTACAACGATAACAATTATATTATAGAGAAGGTATGTCCGACATGTAGAGCAAAAAGCTCTACATACCTTTGTAAACTGAAATTAATAATTAAGTTGTGATTAAATGTGATGTAATGAGTGTAGGAATCGTAGTGGTTTGATGGCAAATGGTAGAATGTAGGAAGTTAAGAGATATATACAACTGAGATAGAGTTAAGAATGTTTTAAGCATATGAAAACAAAAAATCACCAAAAAGACTAGAAATCTGATAAAATAATAAAGGAATGAGGAAGTGTTATTATTATTAAAAAGTGATTAGAGATAAAAGAAGAAAAGCTTTAAACAGATAAGTACAGAATGTGAGTAAAGAAGTTGTGATGATAAAAATGGATTAAATTGAGGATTAAACCTTTTAATGTACATGAAAATAGAACGCCAGTAAAAAGTTTATGATCATCACAAAAAACAAAAAATTTTTGAGATTAAGATACATACATTAAAGACAAATGAGAACAAAACATGGTACAGAGGACAAAACTAAAGATTGTATTACTCAAAAATTAAGTGGAGATGGAAGAAAGGTGTAAAGCAGATAAGAATAGAATATGAATAAAGAAGTTGTAATGATAACTAAAAAAGTATGAGGAAAAAGGTTAAATAATTTAAAAAACGATTGGAGATGAGGGAAAGAAAACTTGTAGCAGAGATGAGAACAGAAAATAATTTCATATAGAGGAAGAAAAGTTAAAAGCAGATTTAAAGAGGCAAAGAGTTTATGGTATATTGGTGAAAAAATAATTTAAGTTGGAAGAAAGATGATTTAAAAGCCAATGAGAAGGCAGTATGAGTGAAGAACTGTATTTGTGGAAAAATTGTTTGAAAACGAAAAAGCAAAGTTAAGACAGGTCAGAACTAAATATAACTAAGGCAATTAAATTGTTAAAAAAAATATATCAATTACAGATTATTTAATAGAGGGCCAGTCTACTTCGTATGTGTTTATGTTACTAAACTACTATCAATAAAAAAATTGTTGAACTTACGGTGGTTTATAAAGGCGAATTGGAAAAATCGGATCACCAGGCTTACGTGGTTGGCACGCTAGTATGATTTCTAAGAAACTGAACCGACGACGGCTATATTTGATAAAATTAAAAACAAATATATTTATTAAGATATATATATAATTTATATATTAGATAAATTTACTTGATTTCAGGGCATGTTTCCCGATGTGCAGGAAAATTTTTATTCAAACATTGAAGGCTACAAAAAGAGATTTTACATCTCTGACAGAGTCCAGATGTTGGTGTGTTACATCCAACACACGGGTTTTGGAGTTTCCTCTTTCTACCAGTCGTAGTTGCTGCAAAAATAGAATACATTAGTAAGAATGTTGAACATAGTTAATTTGAAATTTATAAATATGTAATGCAGACCTAAATTAAGAAGAACAATTTGTACGTACAAAAAACACGTTCTTAGAGTTAGGTTCTAGCTTGGAAAGAAATGTTTAAATTAATTCTCCTAAAGAAAGAACCGAAAAACATTAACAAATGTTAATTTTGTACAAATGAGGCTAATATCTGGAATAATTCTTTTTCAAGGAAGGTAACGACGGGTAAGCCAATTTCAAACATATTCGTAGATAGCACCATACAACTCGAATTGATCTTTAATGACTTATGAGTAACTGGTTGTATGCCTTGGTACTTTATCTCAAAAGAGAAAAAAGGAAATGCTTTAAATTTCACTTAAAATAATACTAAACAATATTTCCAATTAGTGGAATTTATTCTTTTGAAAAAACAATAGAATATTATTGGTATTAGTTTAAGGAAATCACACTAAAAAATAATTTAATTGAGAATGTCTCTGTCCGCATTGTCGAGCGACCAACATTCCTTGATACTAATTGTAATTTATTATCCGCCCAAAGAAAAAGGTTGCTACCTCAAAAATAACATGACAGCTGATGTATCTCGATTTTAAATAGTTAACACTGTACTGGACAGCAATATTCGCCTGCAAGTGTGACATATTTTGCTAAGAAATGAACATATGTATAACATTTAAAAATGAATTATTTCAATTTAAAAGGGAGTGAACTTACGCCTAACATTTCTATATGTAACAAAAACAGCAAGATGTAAATATATTGAAGAAAGCTTTATTCGCCTTTTGATTGCAGCATCTTTCAAGCACTATACTGATGCTCAAGCAACATCATACTGTTGCTTATGCAACAACATAGTATCGGTACGCACATATCAGTCACCTTAATCAATCAGTATAACTAGCCAACCAGATAGGAGACATTATTTATAATATCAATTTATGCATTAAAAAAACTAGTTAATTAGCTGAAACAATCAGATGCACTTAATATGGATTCCGGGGCAATGCTGGTATCCAAGGCAATGAAATGCAGACAACGTAGAAATAAGAGGCTTCAATAATTATAGGCCCAGAACCTTTCTGTGGTCCACGCAAAGGAACTTGCATTACAATTTAAAATGCTTTTAGGGACTTGCAACTAAAAACACTTCAAGCATTGCTTAGATCAAACAAAAAATAACCTTAAAATTATTACCTGATTATTAACATGTTACTGTAGTCAATCTACACCTAACAAAGTCAGGAATCCAATCCATCTCAGACTGTAGATACTGTAGAGAAGAAAGAGAAACCGCATACCATATGCCATGTGCTAGGAGAGTGCACGATACTGATGTACAAGCGAAAGAAATACCTAGGAGGGTATATCATGGAACATGGGGATTCCAGACTAGGATTAGAGAAACACTCGAATCCGACTAAGCGGCACAATAGATCTTCTTTTAGGTCGCAGTGTACATTATATCTAAGTTAAAGTGAATTTTTCTATAATTTCGACTTAAGTTTCAATTGCTCCAGAATATATTTTCACGTTTAATATCAAATTGGGTTTTAACGTCCGTTTTGACGAAAGAAATAGAATTCTTAATACCAATTATTATTTTATTATAAAGCTGTAGTTTATAAGCTCGTTCTAATTTAAAGCACGGCAAGTGCTTTGGTTGGTGTCACTAATTAAATAAAAATAAGTGACAATAAAACCTGGAACTTGAGCATTGAAAATTTGTGCAGCCTTGGCTTCTTGTGGATAAACACGATTAGTCAACGCTTCTAATTTGACAGTGACGAGTTCTAAGCCTGGCACTTGCAGTCCAAACAAATTATATACGGACTATAAACTAATTAAATAAAAATTCGATTATTCCAAAGACCACTGATGACGAGTACTTAGCAATACTCGAAACAGCGTTGTATGGTCAGCCAAACTTCAATAAAATTAAAATAAATTTTTGTGTTTGTCCTTTATTTCTTTCTTTGCTATTCAAAACCCCTCTAAATTTTAATAAAGCTTCTTTGTCACCATACAAAGAAAGTCTAGCTTTACAGCAACACGTTTACTTTATTCAAAAATTATTATTTTCAATAGAGAGGTTTTTATCGAACAGTAGTGAATTGCAACAACAAACATTTTTTATTATTTTTAATTGAGTTTATGGCTCAGCATAGAGCTGTTTCGAATATTACCAAATAACCATCATCAGTGGTCTTTGAATTTTTTTTTTTTTTTGAAACTGCAAGTACCAAGGGTTCGTGCCTGCCAAATTTGAAGCTCAGAGTCTGGTTTCATTAGCCAACTGACCCAAAGCAGTACTTAACTTGTATGTTCGAACTAGGTATTTTGTTGATTTAAATAAAAGTTCATTAACAAAACAAATTCACTTGTGTTATATTAGAACGAAACCATAAACCAGCTGTAGAATAATTGAATTAATAAATTATATTGATATTTTCATTTTCAGATTCCAATACTATTCTTTTGTAGAGGCGTTTCATGAAGATATAGAAATCTCAGACAATTTTATTTATGTGTAAAAGATATTTCATTTGCACTGAAATTTATAAAGATTGATAATATTTTTTTCCAAATGTGTTGTGTTCTGCATATGTTGCAATCGTCAAATTTACATTCAAAACTCAGTTCCCTTTCGGTTGTAAATCAGCAATAGAATTAGCATTAGCACCATATGCAAATACTAACCAATACCCATCAAAAATGCCAACACACACATACGCTGAAATTTTATAAATTCGTATAGTCAAGAAACAAACACCAAAATATAAAAATGTAGACAAAACTTTTATCTTTAACTATCTAATTTTAACATTTATATAAATGTATATACATATATATGTATATATATATATATATATATATATATGTATATCCCTTGTTGGAACTCAACAACTCAAGAAGTTGTAATATGCACAAAAAAGAAAAAAAAAATAATAATAAAAATAAAAAGATAAAGGACAACAACATTTATAAATGAAACAAAAAGCAAAAATAAAATAAAATAAAATAAAGAGAATTTATGTGGAAAATTTGTAAAAAGTGCACAAAAATGCGAAGCTTTCTTATATGCGGAAAAATTGCATGCGTGATGAATTTTTCCACATTGGCAACATTATAAATGCAACAAACAAAGCAGAGGCAGCAACTGTAGGAGTTATACCAGATCTTCGCAGATATGGAAATTTTTAACCGCACATATGGATACCCGCACAAATTTTGCATATCTGCATATGTGCCGGCGTTGAAGCACTATTGTTTTAATAGCGCCGAAAGAAGGTCTGTCTTCTCATTTCGTTTTCTCATAAAACTTATGCTTGGGCGGAAATAAATGTTTAAACTTTTACAATATATATTTCCTTAAAAAGAGAATTTATCAAGCGTTTAAAATTGCGTGGAAAATCATCTGTGTTCTTCCATACATTGCCACTTCCATACATTGGCATTTTGGTCTGACTCCTTAATTTCTTATTTTCATGTTCTTTTTTTTCGGTAGAAGTTTTCGGTACAATTGATTTTTTTGCTTCTTCAAATAGAATTTATGTCTGCAATCATCTTATCTCTCTTAAGCTACGTTTAATAAATCTTAACAATTAATAATATTTGCGTATATCTATTATGAAATCTATTTAATTATTCAAGAATTTTAAAATCTAAATCAAGTACAAGGAAACCTGAGGTGAATATGGAGAGAAAACCGCATTATTCTTTAGATTGTACTGAAATTAATACTTATTACATTATAAATTATAATATAAGTTAATGACACTTTATTTCTATATTTTTAACACATTTTATTTATTTAAATAATTTGTCAATAATTTTGCTTACGAATGTGTGGTTGGCCCAAATAGCCTAGGTAGAAGTGAACGAGTACATTTTTGTGAAGTTGAGAGCTACCGATGCCAAACGGGACTTATCCAGACAAACAAGATGATGTCCTGTTTGGTAGCAATCATGCTTTCGAATAATATCGCACGATTACTCCTTTAATGAAACTAAACACAGGGCCGTTTTTGGAAGACGAGGATGTTAACTTATATAGTCGACAAAACACTTACTTATAAAGAAATTCAAAAAAAATTTTTCGCCTTCAAGACATTTACATATATACCTTATATACCTATATATATACTTTAAAAGTTTATGGCATTCATATTAACATATTAATTCATATTAACCGTAATTTTTTCTTTCAGAGTTGTAAAAAAAACAGCATTAAATCTAATTAAAACAAATTGGCATCACTTCTAAAATATGTTAAATGTTTTTTTTTTTCAACAAATGTTTATACTGGCCGAAGTGTATGGCGAGTATACAGCTACTGGTCTAGATAGAAAAATATTGCTGTTGTTTTTCGTACATTTCGGCCAGTATAAGCCAGCAACTTACTGTTGTTTATCATACTTGCAAGCCACCGAGAAAACGCCTAATATGATATATAAAAATAGTAAACACTACAAATTAATTAACTTAAATAAAAGCAATCAATATGAGCATTAGAAGGGCAAAGGTAAGCATTTTTATCTTGTATATTTAAATTTAATTATTTATTTATGTTATTGAACTTATTAGCCATTGAAGTACTATGAATGAAGCATGACTGGTCTGAATAGTCTGATTTTTGTATTTGGTTGCACTAAAACTTAAAAACATCTACATAGGTTTTCACGGAAAAAAAATTACTATTAACTTTCGAACATAAAGAACATTTAATAAACCCATATAAACTAATTTATTCTCTATAAGATGCGATATATTGATGAAACACAAGCTTAAACTTAGTACAAAAATTTGTATATTAAGATACATTAAAGTAAAAAACTTATGTTAAATTTATATATTGCCTATGTATCCAACAGTAACGAAATAAAACAGGCGTATAACTGGAATGATGTGAGAAATATTATATAAAAATATTATATATAGAAATGTTATTATATATAAAAATATTATAT